CTACACTAAACCCTTCACCCCTCGAGAGTGAATGGGTGAACCCCTCACCCCAAACCCCGAAGCTCTTACGCTCGCAGCCCTTAAACCGCTAAACCCCTAATATCCTCCCCTACAGCCCCAAACCCCCTAAACCTATACCCCCTAGACCCAAAGGTGCTAGGCCCAGCCCCAAACACTAAACCCCCAGCCCTAAGCCCTAAGCCCTAAACCCTAAGCGACTAAGCGAGGCCGCTTGCGAACTTCAACCCCAACGAGGGGGACGCCCCGGAGTTCTTTCGCTCGAAGAGACCTGGCTTTTAAAATGTTTAGGGCCTTTAGGGTCTTTAGGCTTTAGGTGAAGCAAAACTTAGGGTTTAGGGTTTAGGGCTTAGGGTTTAGGGCTTAGGGCTTAGGGTTTAGGGTTTAGGGTTTAGGGTTTAGGGTTTAGGCCCCACAGAAGCCCGCAACAGCAAAGGCCCGAAGTGCCAGCTGCGGCTGAGTGGCAGCTCTTTGGCCCAGAAGGGCCTAGCGACGACTTCCCGAAAGCTGCATGAGGGTTTAGGGTTTAGGGTTTAGGGTTAGGGCCTCAACCCTAAACCCTAAATCCAAAACGGTTAGCGTTTAGAGGTTAGCGTTTAGAGGTTAGCGTTCAGAGGTTGTTGCCGAGGATCTGGGAGGTTCAGGGTATGGTGTGCTGGGCCTTTGGGACGTCGTTGCCTCCTAATTCACAGACGTCTGTCCAAATGGACAGGGCGCGCTAATGAATGCCGGAGTCGGGCGTTTGCAAAGAGGCGATGTGCAGGCGGTTGAGAGATAGGGTTTAGGGTTTAGGGTTTAGGCTTTAGGCTTTAGGGTTTAGGGTTTAGGGTTTAGGGTTTAGGGTTTAGGGTTTAGGGTTTAGGGTTAGGGTTTAGGGTTCAGGGTTCAGGGTTTAGGGTTTAGGGTTTAGGGTTTAGGGTTCCAGGTTCTAGAGTTCAGGGTTTTGGCTGTAGCTTCCCAGGAGGTATGGCAACAAGGTTTAGGCTTTGGGGTGGAGGGTCATGGAGTTTACTAGGGCCTCCAGTGATATACCCTTTTGCCTTCATGTTTTGGTCATATTTCTGGCTCCCGGGAGTCCAATTTGGAGAATGGGGTGTTAGAGTTGAGGCTTTACAGTAACCGCGATAGAACACCGCCCACTCTACCCTAAACACGAAAGCCCTTGAAGTTAAGGGATGGGGCAGAGGAATCCCTAGCGCGTAGGTTCCAAAGCCCTGCCGAAGCCCTCAACATACCCAGGGACTAAGGCTTTGCACACGCCGCTCCAGAGACCTCCCTCCCAAGCCCTAAACCCTAAACCCTAAACCCTAAACCCTAAACCCTAAACCCTAAACCCTAAACCCTAAACCCTAAACCCTAAACCCTAAACCCTAAACCATAAAACCTAAACCCTAAACCCTAAACCCTAAACCCTAAACCCTAAACCCTAAACCCTAAACCCTAAACCCTAAACCCTAAACCCTAAACCCTAAACCCTAAACCCTAAACCCTAAACCCTAAACCCTAAACCCTAAACCCTACAAACAGGAGAATATGGGCCTACCTACTGTCTTGCGTCAGCTATGCGACACAACCGATCAACCGAAGCCAGCATGCCCATGCCCAACCGCCATCGTATGAGTAGAGTAGGTAACCTTTAACCTTTTTGGGGTAATAAAATCCCCTTATGATCCCAAAGGTTAACCTTTAGTTCCCCTAGGTACTGAACAACTAAGTATATAGCTGTATGCCACGTCCGTGATCTGTGTATGAAGGTCATCCCAGCACCCCTAAACCCAAACTCCAAGCATGAGGTTCTGACCCCGTAAACCCTGAACCCTGAACCCTGAACCCTAAACCCTAAACCCCGAACGTCTGCGAGGTCTTCTTTCTTAGGCTCCTCCCACGTGCCTTCGGCTTTCAACAAGGAGCCGGGTGCCAGCGTTTAGGGTTTAGGGTTTAGGGTTTAGGGTTTAGGGTTTCTTGCTCATGCTGGCTTGATCTGTGGCTGTTCAGAGTGGGGCTCTAAAGCCTACGCCTTCTACGACATAGGTCTTTGTTTCTGAGAGGCCTTCGCCTTGGAGGCTTCGGGGGTCATGAACGCCTTAGGATTTTGGGCTTTGGCTTCGGGATTTCGGGCTTTCTGTTCGGACATTCCAAGGCTTCGAGCTCCGGCTTTGGGCCAGCTAAGGGCGGGGCCCCGACGGATCAGAGTTTAGGGTTTGGGTATGTAGAGTTTATAGGGTTTCGGTTGCGGGTTTCTTGTAGGTTTTAGGCTTAGAGTTTTGGAGTTTCGAGTTTAGGGTTGAAAGAGTTTTGGGATTTAGGTCTTTGGGTTCATGGTTCAAGCCTGAGCCCTGCATCCTGGACCTCGTCGGGGTGCCTTGCGTGGGCGCCCATCGGTTTTCGACGACATAGTGGTACAAGTAGTTCTAGGGTTGGAGACAGTCTTAGGGCCAATCGTGTGGGGTTTTGGATTTTTTGGTTTAAGAGATGTTTAGCCAATAAGTTGAGGGGCGCGCGGAATGAAAATTGGTAGTGCAGGGTACAGGGCCCTCTTTCTTAAGGGCTCATATGGTTTCTCAAGGAACCATGTGGTGAAGAAATGGGCAACCGACGTCCCGATGAACTATGGCAGGGACTGACGCAGGTGTGCGATCGTTGCAGGGAGTCTTCCGCTTCGACGGGAGGATGATGACACGAGTCACGAGCTTCGGCTTTGACGCCGGTGACGAGCTGTTCCAGTGAGGTTTTTGTGGACAAAAGCACCGAAGGAGGGCAGGTGCGTCATGTGAGGGCTGATCTACGTTCAGAGAGGGAGTGAGGTATTGTAATTCCGCCATGCGCGTTTGTCCGGCCTCGGCTCCGCGCAACTCTGGAATTCATGGGTCCTCTAAATCCAGACCCCAAAAACCCTGAAACCCTATCACCCTGCATGCCCCCCCCCCCCCCCCCCCGCACCACCACCCGTGCCCCACCTCGCCGCGCCCCTCCCCCCTCCCTCCCCTTCCCCCCCCCCCCCAAGAAGAAACAAGAAACCGAAGGCACCCTCCCGATATCCCGCCACCCGCAGGAAGCTGCCACGTGGTTCCATGTGCATTCTATGCGGCAGGGGACCCCGGCCCACTTTGCAGGGTTTGGGCTGGTGGCTTTCAGCCCCGAAGTCCTCCTGAAGGGGTTGAAGAAGGTTTAGGGTTTAGGGTTTAGGGTTTAGGGTTTAGGGTTTAGGGTTTAGGGTTTAGGGTTTAGGGATTGTCGGGTTGTGCCTGGAGGTTTCTGAGCCCAGCCCTGCCTTGAACCATTGAAGCCCTCTGCGTCCATGATGCACCCTGAAGCCGCGCTAAAACCCGGAAGCCCTAAACCTTACACCCTACAACCCCAAATCCAAGCCTCAAACCCTCAACCCCCCCAAAGAGTAGATTCTTGCAAGCCTGAATTCTCAAACCTGCAACCTTCTAGAAAAAGGTTTAGGAATCAAGCAGGGCTTTTGGTTTTAGGGTTTAGGGCCCGCAACCGTGCAAGGTTTGGCAGGTTTTAAGGGCTTCAGGCTTTATAGGGTCTAGGGTTTAGGAAGTTTAGGAATTTGGTCCCAACCCGAATCCTAACCCCTGAAGCCTCCTAAACCCTAAACCCTCACCCCTAAGCCCTAAACCTTAAACCCTAAACCTAAACCCTAAACCCTATATAAACGCCCCAGGACCGACCGAAGCTTGACTGAGGCACCCGCGGGTGCTTTCGGAAGTTCGGGCGAAGTTCGGGCGAAGTTCGGGCGAAGTTCAGGGTATCCACGCCGTACACGCTCACACTCGAAACCTCCATTTTGAACCCACAGCCTTACCCTGCCATAAGTCCTAAACCCTAAACCCTAAATCCTGAACCCTAAGCCCTAAACCCTAGACCCTACAGCCCAAACCCCTCTATCAGCTTCGGGGCCCCTTGATCTTGATCCCCCTCAAGAGCCCTCCAACCCTAAAATTTGCTTCGGCAGCAAGTTTGTTGAGCCCCTCCACACCCCACGAAGCGCGGTGGCCTTTTGAGATATTGCAGGCTGTAAGGTTTCAGAGGATCTTCTCTGAACATTTTGGGTTTATGACGGATGTTCTTTAGGTTAGTTGTATTTCGGATCTCGTTTGGGGGTTTACGATATTCGGGGTACCTTATCGGGGTCCTGATTATACGGGGATCCTACTATTTGGGCGCCTATCTTAGGGGTCCCGTATTATCATTCGGAAGGCCCCCCCCATTCTCGGTGGGTTTCAGTGGCCACCCCATGGAATGCTTGCGCGCAAGGCTTCGTTTTGGGTCTGCGTCTCTGCTGTGACCTCGGCACATCGGAAGTTGGATCCACAGATTGTTCTTTGAGTTTTTTGTTTTATGGTTTCGGTTTTAGGGGTCAGCTAGTTTTTCAAGGTACTTACAGTAGTCAGCACCTCAGCCCAGTAGCTAGCAGTCACGTGAACTTAGTGCATGCACTTGGACGGCTGCTTGCCCGTTCGGAATGAGTATATATATATATATATATGTACATATGCGTATGAAAATGAAATATGCTATGATATTGCATATTTCTTGTGGGAAGACTCAAGGCTACCCTGGAGCCTACACCCTCTGAAGCGTCCCCGCCCCAAGCCACCACCACTTGCAGCACACAGGCTCAAAGTTTCGCAAACACGGGATACGCACAATGTCAACTTCTGTGTCCATCACTCTGTGTTTATGATTTAGTGTCCAAGGTTGTGGGGCGGATCTGGGTGGTTTGAGATTCAGCATTCGCCTAGAGAAAGCGTTGCCAGAGCTCTCGCAAAGAGGGAGCGAGTGTTGGCCTCAAGCCTTGACAGGCTTGTCAGCAGCCTAGACTCTAAACATGCGGATGGGACTTTCGGAAGGAGATTGAGAGGATCTACATACATCCTCGATGCTGCGTGTGCCGGCTTTGGTGATGTTTCAGGAAGTTTGAGAGGTTAGTGAGATGAGATTCAGAAGGCACTGGTCCAAGACTTGGCATGCCTTGGCTGACTCATCATCCGAAGTTGAGGGCCTTGAAAACATACGCCTGTGGTGGAGATGGAAGCTCTGATCTCGAGGCAAGTGGCCCTGTTGAGGACGCTTTCATTCAGCTGCTATCAGGGTACCGTCAACCCTAAACCCTAAACCCTAAACCCTGAACCCCAAACCCCAAACCCTAAACCCTAAACCCTAAACCCTAAACCCTAAACCCCAAACCCTAAACCCTAAACCCTAAGCCGCATCCTTCAAGCCTAAAAACCCGCAACGCAGACCCAATGGAGTCTGGGTTGATTACCCATGAGCCTCCCAGAAGGCCCTACAGAGCCTGCCCTGAAAACTCTAAACCCTAAACCCTAAACCCTAAACCCTAAACCCTAAACCCTAAACCCTACGGCCCTCATGGGATCTTGTTTATACTAAACACCCCCCCCCCCCCTCCCCCTCCCCGCCCCGGTCTGCCTCTTTCATGTGGGCTCGTGAGCTTAGGGTTTGGGGTTGAGGGGTTTAGGGTTCCCAGGTTCAGGGTTCAAATTTAGGATTTAGGATGCTTGAGTAGGATCCCTGAGGCCATGAACCCTAAAACCTCTGAACATTGAAAGATCCTAAACCCTAGGCCCTAAACCCTAAACCTAAACCCCCAACCCTAACCCTTGAACCCGAGCCCCTTTGCGGTTAGGGGCCGTCTTTTCAGGTCCAACTCCTCGTTGCGTCAGCTGTGCGCCCCTCGCACGAGGAGTCTCGCCCCCAGGATACGAGCTCAGTTTAGGGTTTAGGGTTTAGGGTTCCGGGTTAGGGTTTAGGGTTTAGGGTTCAGGGTTCAGGGTTCAGGGTTGAGGGATCAGGGTAGTGGAAGGTTTAGGGGGGTCAGTGCTGGGCTGGGAAGGTTTCGCGCAAAGGGTTTGGGTAGGGGGATAGTTAAAGTGGTATCGGATCCCATGATTACAGCCTTTTGTTGCAGTCCCTGGCGGTAAGCATCCCAAGATCTCGCCAAGGATTCGTGGCAGCTGGTTCACTGCGCGAATGCGTGGACAGATGTCGCCGCACATGGGCCCATCTACAAAACCCTTCTAGCCCTAAACCCTAAACCCTAAACCCTGAACCCTGAACCCTGAACCCTGAACCCTGAACCCTGCAACCCTGAACCATGTTATGGAGGCAACCACTGAAGAGCTCCCAGGCCTCATCATGACCCGCCTTGACACCATGCAAGTCGGGCTAGAGTCTGGGCTGGAGCGCTGTGCCCTGCGCGGCTCAACCGTGCGGAATTCATAGCGATAGGGTTTAGGGTTTAGGGTTTAGGGTTTAGGGTTTAGGGTTTAGGGTTTAGGGTTTAGGGTTTAGGGTTTAGGGTTGGGTCTAGGGTTTAGGGGTTCCTGCGGACGCCGGACTCTCTTTTGCATCGAACAGGCTCCCTCTGACCCAGGTGGCAGTTCCTGCGATGGCAGCACGTAAGGTAGCGTCAAGTCGAGTTGTAAGCACAGCCAATAATCCCTTCCCCCTAATATGAACCTCCCCTACCCTGAATATGATATACTCCCCATACACCTTTAATAGTATAGCTATACTGGGAGTCTTCTTGTTATTAGGGGTAGAAGCATAGCTACCTGACTTCTACACGAAAGAAGGCCCAGGCTCAGGAGCTGTATGCTTAGGGTTATGTTGTATCATGTTTTGTGTTCTGCTATTATAATAGTTACACTATTATGATACTGTTCTTATTCACTAGTCTATCCATGTCTACTAATATTATCCTACTATGATACTCTTCTTGTATTAGAATATGATTATGGGCTTAAGGACTTAAGAAGGGAGTCTTGAGGTGCTCGCCGCTTGCCAGGATTTGCTTGGGGTCTCACGGTTTAAGGCCGTCTAGGGGGTTTGGGGTTTAGGGTTTAGGGTTTGGACTTACCCAACATGCAGTAAAATAACAACTATGCGTTCAGCTCCCAGACCCGAAGTCCTCAGCCTTCAACTCCGAGACCCTAAGCCCTGAGCCCTGAGCCCCAAGCCCCCCCCCCCCTCCAAGGCATTCGCAGCTGCACGCGGCCCTGCGCGCGATGCGGCGGGCGGCACCTGAGGCACCAAGTTTGGAAGCGTCGGGTTCAGGGCCTGAGGAAGCTTGGTTAGGGTTTGGGGTTTAGAGTCTAGGGTTTGGGATTTAGGGTATGGGGTTTCGGGTCTGGGGCTTGAAAGGGTTTAGGGTAGAAGGTTTCGGGTTTAGGGGTATTGGGTTTGCAGGGCCATGCTACGTTTCGGAAGGACTGGGTTTTGGGTTTTTGGGCGACTTGGGCCTGGGCTCGTTTAGGGTTTAGGGTTAGGGTTAGGGTTTAGGTTTAGGGTTTAGGGTTTAGGGTTTAGGGTTTAGGGTTTAGGGTTTAGGGTTTAGGGTTTAGGGTTTAGGGTTTAGGGTTCGCGTGGGCAACCAGGGGTCCTCTTTTGAAGGGTGGCTGGGGTCGGTGCCTTGAAGTTCTTGCCCCCTCAACTCCTGGGATGAAGACTCCTGGGATGAAGACTCGCATCCCTAAACCCTAAACCCTAAACCCTAAACCCTAAACCCTAAACCCTAAACCCTAAACCCTAAACCCTAAACCCCAAACCCCTAAAGGTTCCCCTTAATATACTCCTAACATGACCCATAGATCAACTCAACCAACAGTCCCTGGGTTTGCGCATGACCCCAAGACGTGGCCACCCTAAACCCTAAACCCTAAATCCTAAACCCTAAACCCTAAATCCTAAACCCTAAATCCTGGCCAGTGCAGTCTTGCATCGACGCCAGGACGATGCCAACCGGTCACTGCGGCTGGACCCAGATTGATGGTTTGAGTGTGCTGGACAGCCTAAAACCCCTAAAGCCCGTAAAGCCCTAAATCCCTAAAACCATACACCCTAAAGCCCTCAAAACCTGAAAACCTACAACTCTAAATTCGTAAGGACATAACGCCCCAACACTCAAAAGTGCTACAACCCAAAGACCCTCAAACCCCAAAACCCCACCCCACCTTGGGGGCCAACTGCAACCTAAAAGGGCTGATGGGATTATAAACGTATAGGGTATACGACCCCAGGTTTAATTTGAACCCTAAACCCTGAATCGGAAACCCTGAACCCTACACCCTAAACCCTAAACCCTAAACCCCAAACCCTAAACCCTAAACCCTAAACCCTAAACCCTAAACCCTAAACCCTAAACCCTAAACCCTAAACCCTAAACCCTAAACCTTTGGGCCTCAAGGCCGCCCTGACCCAGCCCTCTGAGGTTCGACGAGCTTCCTGCCAAGCTCGAGCCCATGATCGGCCGGGCTGCCCAGAGCCCCTAAGCCCCGAACCCCGAATAGGGTTTAGGGTTTAGGGTTTAGGGTTTAGGGTTTAGGGTTTAGGGTTTAGGGTTTAGGGTTTAGGGTTTAGGGTTGAGGGTTTAGGGTTTAGGGTTTAGGGTTTAGGGTTTAGGGTTAGGGTAAAGGGTAAAGGGTAAAGGGTAAAGGGTAAAGGGTAAAGGGTAAAGGGTAAAGGGTAAAGGGTAAAGGGTAAAGGGTAAAGGGTAAAGGGTAAAGGGAAAAGGGTAAAGGGTAAAGGGTAAAGGGTAATGGTAAAGGTAAAGGGTAAAGGGTAACCCTAAACCCTAAACCTCTGTTTATGGGCGTTTGGGTTGAGGGACCTTCAGCCCTACAACCCGCCTCCCCCTCCCCCCTTCTCTAAGAGGGCGGTATAGACATCTGTACCTATTTTGAGCCAGATTTTTTTCCAAGTCGTTAATCGCGACTGCCGCGCTACCGGCACGACGTTCCATGGAGGACACTAGCGCACCCCGGAGCCAAACACCGGCCGCCGATCAGCGAGCTCAGTCCCGGCGCCAATTTCCAAGAGCAAGACGCCGTCCAGTCGGCTCACGCCGTACGGGTTTCGGATTTAGGGTAGGACACAAGGTGAGCTTGATCGGAGGGCCCGAGAAAGGGCGTCCAGGCAGGAGGCTGCACCGGACGCCTGGCGCCAATCCACAGCCTGAGGGATTTAGGGCGTTTAGGGTTCTGTGGTTGAAGGTTTAGGGTTTAGGTGCATGGTATAGGTTCCCTAAGTACCCTCAGCACTACGCCGGATACCATGGACCCTTTTTGTTCCGCTTTGTGTGTTTACAGGGTTTAGGGTTGAGGGCCCCAAATCCCAAACCCTAACTAACTATTTGACTGCCTGAGGAGTTCCGCAGCAGAACCCGAACCCCTAAATCCAGAGTTGGAGGAACCATTTGCCTTTCCAAAACCTTCAGAAAGACCTTGCACGGGCGCAACTTAATTCCCAGACGTTAGGTTTAGGGTAGGGTTCACCTGTACAATATATATATATAGGTATGTATATATATTTGTAATGTGTATATATACGTGTACAGATTTATGTAGGGTTGATAGGGTTTGCACGCGGTTCGTAGCTTTGGGGGGATGTTTCCCCAATGAGAAGGGCGAAGCCGTCACCCCTAAAGCCGAAATTCGAGGCCCTGAGCCCCATGCTCCGAGAACTCCAAGCAACTCCAGACCTCCTTACAGCACCTAAACCCTGAACCCTTAAACCCTAAACCCTAAACCCCAAACCCCAAACCCTAAACCCTAAACCCTAAACCCCTAAACCCTTCATACTATCCCCAACCGCCAATTTAAGGTAGAAAGCTGCCTCTCTGGCAGGTTGAGGCTGGGAGTCCCACCACCCCCGCCCCCCGAATGCCCTGCCCTGTAGGGTTGAGGGTTGAGGGTTCAGGGTTCAGGGTTTAGGGTTTAGGGTTTGGGGTTTAGGGTTTGGGGTTTAGGGTTTAGGGTTTAGGGTTTGAGCAGATCTTTGGAGGTTCCTGCTTTCCCTTATTGCCTTTGAGGAGGCTGTATTCACGTACTAAGAACATGTTTCAGAGGGGGTACTCTGCAATTTTTTCACCCTGTGTTTGGGACGTAGGTTCCCCTCTTGTATATGGTTTAGGGTTTAGGGTTTTTGGGGCTTAAGAATGCGCGTTCCCAGGAGATGGCGCTGAACATGCTTGTCGCTTATAGGGATTGGGGAGATGTAGTTCCGTCTCTACTGAAAGTTGCTCAGGGGTGATTAGGATTTAGGGTTTAGGGTGAGGGTTTTCAGGTTTGTAGGCCCTAAGCCCAAAACCCTACAGCTATTTGAGGTTCACACAGCCGACGACAGAACGTCGACCCCTTTGCGCTACGCCCCTGAGTACCACGTCCCTACACCCTAAGCCCTAAACCCAAAACCCTAAAACCTAAACCCGAAACCCTAACCCCTAACCCCTAAACCCTAAACCCTAACCCCTAAACCCTAAACCCTAAACCCTAAACCCTAAGCCTAAAATCTCAAGCCCTTTCCTTTGGGTCTCAGGCCGCCGTGATGGGTGGCCTGGTCTTGCTTCTGCTCCTCGGGCCTCAGTTTTCGACTCACTATAGGGTTTAGGGTTTAGGGTTGAGGGTTGAGGGTTCGGGGTTTAGGGTTTAGGGTCTAGGGTTCCCTCAACCCTAAGCCCTAAACCCTAATCCTGAACTCTATGCCCGGTTTCGGGATTCGAGATAAACCCTAAACCCTAAACCCTAAACCCTAAACCCTAAACCCTAAACCCTAAACCCTAAACCCCAAACCCCAAACCCTAAACCCTAAACCCCAAACCCCAAACCCTAAACCCTAAACCCTGAACCCTAAACTTGAGGCTCCTAGTGGTTCTGGGCAGTGGCCTGAACTCTGGTTTAGGGTTTAGGGTTTAGGGTTTAGGGTTTAGGGTTTGGGGTTTGGGGTTTGGGGTTTAGGGCCCCAAACAGAACATAAAGCCCCAGCATCCCAGGCTCTTGGTGTGGCGAGCTCAGTCTGACTGGAGCTGTGGGGATTTGGGTTTAGGGTTTAGGGTTTAGGGTTTAGGGTTTAGGGTTTAGGGTTACGGGTTTAGGGTTTTTGGGTTTAGGGGTTTTGGTGGTTTAGGGGTTTAGTCGTTTAGGGATGAGGGTTTAGGGGGCCCCAACTTTGTATATATGTAGGTTGCCGAAGAGTCCTATGAGAGGTTTGGTTGCCTAAGACTCCGATGAGAGGTTGCAGTAATTTCAGTACCGTGCCCTTGCAAGTATCCCTCTTTCCCCACCCCGGTTTTTGCGAGTCCCTAAACCCTAAACCCTAAACCCTAAACCCTAAACCCTAAACCCTAAACCCTAAACCCTAAACCCTAAACCCTAAACCCTAAACCCTAAACCCTAAACCCTAAACCCGTAAACCCTAAACCCTAAACCCTAAGCACCGAATTCTGAGGCTGCTCGCCGTGCTATGCTGCCGCCGCTCGCCGACGCCCACGGACCGGAGCCTGGCAAACTCTTGGGGTTCAGGGTTTCAGATCTAGGGTCTCTAGCCTTAAACCCTAAACCCTAAACCCTAAACCCTAAACCCTAAACCAAGCTCGCAGTTGAGGGTTTATAGGGTCAGGAATCCCCAGAGTCACATCTCTTCTGCTCAAGCAATAAACCCTCACCACGGAATCACTGCGAGGCGCTCCCGGCGATCGTAGGCCGGATCGTGTGCTGTCAGGGTTTAGGGTTTAGGGTTTAGGGCTTAGGGTTTAGGGTTTAGGGTTTAGGGTTCAGGGGGCTCTCTAAACTGAGTTGTTGCCTTCCTGGGTCGATTCTCTTCTGAGAATCCAGCGGGATACCCCTTTGGTTTGCCCTCTTTCGGGGGCTAGGGGGGGGAAGGAGGGGGCCTACCTCCGGCCGAAGTGACCGGCCCGATTCGGGCTTTAGGGTTTAGGGTTTAGGGATTAGGAGTTTAGGGTTTAGGGTTTAGGGTTTAGGGATTAGGAGTTTAGGAGTTTAGGGTTTAGGGTTTAGGGTTTAGGGTTTGAGGCCTGTAAGGGTTTTGGTAGAGTGTCAGGTCCAGTGATGGTCATTGTACTCCCTAGAGTATCCCTAAACCCTAGACACTAAACCCAAAATTCAATCCCTCAACCATGAACCCTAAACCCTGAACCCTCAGCCCTAATCCCTGACGTAGGTCATTCCGCCCATACTCATGTCTTTCATGGTTTGGGGTATTGGACTCGCAACCGTGACAGGCGAGGAGGACAAAGGAGCGGAAGGCCTCCTTCGGCACGCATCGGGTTTAGGGTTTAGGGTTTAGGGTTTAGGGTTTAGGGATACTCTAGCGAGGAACTCTCAAGTGGAAGTTTCGGGTGTATGCCAGGGCAAAGGGGGTTTCGGGGTGTCGGGGTTTGAGGTCTGGGGATTTGGGGGTCTGGGGGTTGGGGGTTCGAGGTTTCGGGGTCTTGCCGGACATTCAAGCAAATCAGACTCCTACCCCTTGAGGTTGGACCCCTAAAGGTTCCCCTGAACATACTCCTAACATGGCCCTGATGCTACCTGAAGGATCTTTAAAGCGGGCCCCCAACCTTAAGGGTCCAGGGTATTTCAGGCCCTAGAGACATGTAGCTCGAGGCCATTTCGGTTGGAGGTCTTGTACTGGAATGTTGCAGGGCTCTGAATCATCAGATCCAGGTGTCACTGGGCAGTCAGGCTCATCTCCGAAGCTGCTGTTGGGCTAATTAGGTTGCGGTTGAGAGATTTTCGCACTCAGGGTTTCGGGTTGCATAGCCTTCTCATCATCCTCACTCATCAGGCTTGGCGGTCCCTCTCCCTCTTTCTCTCTCTATCTCTCTTTCGGTTTTTTTTGTTTGTCGTTGTCTCTCTCTCTCTCTCTTTCTCTTTCTCTTTCTCTTTCTCTTTCTCTTTCTCTTTCTCTTTCTCTTTCTCTTTCTCTTTCTCTCTCTCTCTCTCTCTCCCTCTTTCTCTCTCCTTTTGTCTGTGAAGAGTGGATCCCTGCAACCCTGCGCCCCCCATACCCTCAACCGTACTAAGCCACCAAACCCGAAAAAGCTAACAGCCCGCAAGCCAAAGCGTTTTTGAGCTCGCAGCGAGAGAAGAAGGGACCAGCAATAGCTCGCCTGGCAAAGACCCTAGGAGACAGAGTCTAGGCCCTTACTCCCTTGTTTAGGGGCAGGACAGCTCATGTTCTTGTTGCTTTTCATGCCGGGCGTGGGCGGGTGCTGGGTGCCGTTAGGAAGTTGACTCAATCAGTCCCCTCAACCCTCAACTCAACCCTCAACCCTCAACCCTCAACCCTCAACCTTCAACCCTCAACCCTCAACCCTAAACCCTAAACCCTAAACCCTAAACCCTAAACCCTAAACCCTAAACCCTGAACCCTCAACCCTGAACCCTAAACCGGTTTCGGCACAGACTCCGACAACACCTGACCTTGCATCCTGGACCCCAACAAAGTGCCAGGTGCCACGGCGGATGAGAAACTGTGGCACCGGCCGTCTTTGGGTTTTATATAGGGTTTAGGGTTTAAGGTTTAGGGTTTAGGGTTTATGGTTTGGGGCCTTTTCGGTTTTGGGCAGCTGGTGTTGCTCTTGAGGGTTTAGGGTAGCTTTCGCCCAACCTCTTCAAAATCCTCAACCCCTGAACTCCAAACTCTAAACCTCAAATCCCGAAATACCCCTAATCTAAACCCTTGAACCCTAAGCCCTAATGTAACGCCACACCTTGAACCCTTGGTACCCTGAGCGTTTGGCTCAGGGATCTGGAGAGGCAAGGGCCGCCGAGAGTTTAGGGTTTAGGGTTTACGGTTTAGGGTTTAGGGTTTAGGGTTCCCTTGTGCGCCTCTTTAGATCACAAAGGGTACACTTCCTATTCCTCGAGTGCTTTTTAGGCTTTCACGTAGAACCTTAGGGTTTAGGCTCTCGGCCTTTAACAGCCAACTTTTTTTGTCTAGGTTGCTACCGTAAAAGCCCCTTTTTTGATCCGGACCAATCTACATAACCTACAGTACTGGTAGGTTGTCTTGGTTCTGTCTGTCAGGTGCACCATGAGCTTAAGGCACTGACTCAAAAACGCACGGCGTAGTCGTTGTCAGCCACCTAGCTTCCATGTGGAGGGGGGTTTCCGACATTGGGGGGTGCCTTATTGGTGTCCTTTATGACAAGGGAAGGGGTCCCTTATCTTCGTACACCCCCATGCGTCATCAAAGGAGGCATGTGAGAAACGCCTAGAGGCTTTGACTAGCACATTCCCTTCGGGCTAGCTCAGAGGCTTCCTTTCAAAAACTTCGGACCCTGAACCCTAAGCCCCTGGCAGTTCCTTTTGTTTTGTGTGGGGGCGGAGAGGGGGGGGAGGGGGGCGGGGGGAGGGGGGGGGGGGGGTGAGGGGGGGGGGGGGCGGGGGAGGGGAGGGGGTGAGGGGAGGGGGAGGGCGGGGGAGGGGAGGGGGGGAGGGGCGGGGGGGGCAGGGCACGGTAAGGCATCTTAGACTTGCTTTTTCCTGGGGTTGGGGGTCTAGGTAGTTTGTTGGGACATCGTGTATTTTGCCTGAATTATTGGGTTTAAGAGGATCATACTCAGGAATATTTTTCAGAGCGGGTTAAGGGCCATCCTAGCCTTAGTCCTAAACTCTAGACCCTCAACCTCCAAAGCCCTAAGCCCTAAATCCTTTAGCTCTCTTGCCGCCTCACACCCTACGTAGGCGCAAGCCGTGAAGCGCGGTAGCACAGCAGCGAGCAGCCAAAGCAAGAAAAAGCCAAGCTTATCCTCGTATACTATGCAACTTCAGCATAGAAGCCTTTTTTTTATTTTTAGTTTTATCATGATTGTTTTGAAAAAAGACTTAATAGAAGACGCTACCCAACTTCACATTCTAAACACACCCTGCCCCCCTTAAACCCCTGGCCCCTGAATTCTGAGCGCCCGACACCCCAGCACTGTGCACCCCTAAGCCCTTCGCCCTAAACCCTAAACCCTAAACCCTAAACCCTAAACCCTAAACCCTAAACCCCAAGCCCTAACCCCCGAACCCTAAAGGACGCCCTGCACCCCGAGATCCTAAACCCTAAAACCCCTGAACCCCCCACCTCTAAGCCCTAAACCCCTAAACCCCCAAGAGCCCGAAACCCGCGAGGCCCAAAAAACCCTAAACCCTAAACCCGAAACCCTCAACCCGAAACCCTAAACCCTAAAGCCTAAGCCCTAAACCCCAAACCCCAAACACCAAACCCCAAACCCCTAACCCCTAAGCCCTAAACCCTAAACCCTAAACCCTAAACCTTCGCGCGTGGCACCATGTCCGCCCCAGCGCTGGTTGCAGAGGCAGCTTTGGGGGACTTGCATAGTATAGGGGCCTTAGGGTTTAGGGTTTAGGGTTTAGGGTTTAGGGTTTAGGGTAGTAATATTTAATGAGGTTTTGGGAAATGTTATGTGTAGGATAAGTACAAAGGGACCAGAAGGGAATACTGGCTGTCGTGCCTTGGAACTTTCAGGGTTTTGAGGGCCATAAGGAGGGGCCCCTAGAAGGGGCCCTTAATCTTATCCCCCTATATAACCCCTACATATACCTTATACAGCCCCTATATCCCTAAGTAGCCCCCCCCCCCCCTCAATCTCATCCCCCTATATAACCCCTACATATACCTTATATGGCAGGGTCCCTCCTTTAGTCCCATGTCAGGGGCGTTTAGGGGGGCTTCTGGGATTGTAGGGTTTTAGGCGTTAGGGCTTTGGGGGGTTGGAGGATTTTAGGGTTTTAGGGTTTAGGGTTGCTAGAGGGTCCAGGGTTCAAGGTTGGAGGGGTGTAGGTTTGTAGGGTTTAAAGGCAAACTTGAGCATTCAGTCCCCTTTTCCAAGGGGGCTTCAGTCATGTCAATATTATGCCTTCTCAGTCTTTTGCAGGACAGGCGGGAGGGGGGGGGGGGTGTTGCATCGAATCAGCGCATGATCCGTGCGTAGAATTCTGAAGATGCTAGTCTGGTATAAATTTGAAAACCCTACGGCCCCCCCAACCCTAAGCCCTGGCAGGAAAACTCCTGCTGTTTTTGTTCTTAAAGGTTTTATACGTTTTAGGGTGTTTGTTTAGGGTTTAGGGTTTAGGGTCTAGGGTCTAGGGTCTAGGGTCTAGGGTCAGGGTTTAGGGTTTAGGGTTTAGAGTTTAGGGTTTAGGGTTTAGGGTTTAGAGCCTGTTGTTTAGGGTTAGATGGCTTAGGGGTGAATCGTTAACAAACCCCTCCTGGCACAGATCTGCGTGCTGGGCGGCGGCGTTCTCGGCGCGGCCATCGCGCGCGCGGCCGCACGACGCGGCGTGGCCACGACGCTGCTGGAGCCCTTCCTAACGGTTTGCTCTGGGTTTAGGGTTTAGGGTTTAGGGTTTAGGGTTTAGGGTTTAGGGTTTAGGGTTCATAGGGTTTATAGGGTTTATAGGGTGTATATAGAGCCGTGCGGGTTCAGGCATTGCGCTGGAAAAGATTAGATCCCTACACAAGAGCAATGGAACCGAGCGGCCCCCGCCATTGGGGGTCAAAAAGAAGTCCGGAAAGTCGCTCTCAGAACTCAACACCCGTACAGCCCAAGAAAGGACGAAGTCAAGAGAGAGAAACAAAAGTTGAGGATGGCAAAGACCTACGAGAGGATATGGAGGATGCTGTCAGCCGCGACAACCAGGTCAACGACATCCTAGATGACATCAGAGACCTCAAAGATCAAATGAAGTCTGCACAGTCTCAGCTAGCGTATCTCCTATATAGTGAGGCAGACCGGCAGCGAGCAGCTGTGGCAGGTAAACTGATGGTAAAAAATTGGTGGCAATACATGGAGACAAATGATCAGGGGAAAAGTTTGTTGATGGAACACCGGGAGACAATGATCAACGCCATAGCCATCGAAGCGGGCATCAACGAAAGGGACATCGCGAGATTCAAGTTCGAGCATCGCAGGGGCAAACAACTCTCACCCTTCACCATGGTTGATACGGGAAACTATGCCTTGAAACAACAAATGCTGGAGTCAATCAGCCAAAAGTATGACAGAAAAGGAATCAAAGAATGGACCAACACGAAGCTGAGCCAGCTCCAAAGTGGAAGCAACAAGGACTCCGTGAACGGCATGATCAAATTCGAACCATGCATCGCAGCGTTTGACCGTATGCAGACAGAACCTCTCAAAGCCATCATGACAGTGATCACGAAGATGACCCCAAACCTACAATGGAAGCATTCATGGAAGCATCTCACAATCCAGAACACTGAGACAGGAGAATACATTGCGTGGTTGGCTTATGATCACTTGGAGGGCTTTGCGAAAATCTATGTCAACAAGAACCTCTACTCTGCACGAGCCTTCGAAGAGGAATTCCTCACCGCGTACGGGAACATCATGTCACGCAAGGTCATCGGCAACAAGGGAAAAGGCAAGGGCTCCACAGCAGAAGGAGTACTGACTGCAAGTGACTTCCTGAAGGCTGTAGGTCTCACCCCGGAGGGAAAAGGATCATACATGAGGGTCTCAACATGGACACTCAAAACCAAAGTGCCTTTCATTTTCGAGGTGACATCAATCGCTAACGAAGAGTTCGGACAGAAATACGACGACCACCTCAACAGGATTGCAAAACGCATCCTGAAGCCTGACTTAGTCTTGTAGGGACACTGCCTTCCAGCACGAGCGGGGAAAAACTACGACAGTGCTACAAGCGTACCTGCCACAACAGATCATCAGAAAAATTCTGAAACTATATACCCAAGGAAGCTTCACCACCGAATGTCTCATCACCGAATGTCTCATCACCGAATGTGTCGTCACCGAATGACAGCAATTACGAGGTCTAACCGACCAGTGATTGCTCGCCCAAAAACACATAGGGATGATATGACAAACGATATCTCTGTTAACAACGCTTTGCCTTACTCTACCCCCAGCCAACCGGTACGGCGGGAGACGCGCCCACTTTCCCAAGGACGGTGCGCGAACGAAATGAGTACTGAACCCAAGTCTCACCCAAATCGCACACATAGAAGAGGAGGAAGGTCTAAGACGCAACAATTGGTCCATAAATCCAACAGACGACAAAAACGAACCTTCCACAGAAACGAATACAGAAGAGTGAGACAGTGCTGGAAGGCTTTGGCCAAGCGTCCAGCTACCCTCACCTTGGCTCAAGAAAGAATCCTAGCAACCACAAGCAATACAACGAATATAACCTCTGGCAAAACGGCGGAAGACACTAATCATGAACGCAATTTGGACTCCAATGTCTCCGCAGAACCTTGGAAGCAGCCCCTCACACATGCTCAGAAACTCCGTATTGCAACTCTGAACATTCGAGGGATGAACTACATAACTGCAAGACAGCAAGTTACTTATGTCATGAAGAAACATAGCATCGATATTCTTGCATTACAGGAGACGCATGTAAATTACACGGGGAAAGAAACACATGATGACTATATTTTCTATTTTTCGAGCAGCATAGACGATGACCAGCGAAAACGAACTGAAGTAGACCTGGAAGCGTACAATGCTAAATGCAAAAAAGACAAGATACAACATGATGAAGCACAGCGAGAACGTATGAGAATTAGACAACGGGCGGCAGAGAAACTTGGATGTGCTATAGTATACGCAAAAAAGCTTAATCTGGACGTCGACATCCAAGCGACCGATCACCAACATATTTTAATGACGATTAATACGAAGCCTATTTCCATAAATATTGCAGCAACACACGCGCCACATGCCAATCACACGACTCAGACTAAGAACATTCACTATGAGACCTTAGGACAACACGTGGATAAATGGAAACCGCACGAGGTGAACCTTATTCTTGGAGATTTCAATGCTAGACTACTTGAACAGTTACCGCAGGAATCCACAATCATTGGGAAACACGTATATCGCGAGTCCAGTTCTACTATACAAGACCTCAGTGAACCACAGCAACAAAATAGGCACTTGTTTACAGACTTTTGCTTATCGCGCAAGTTGATACCTATGAATACTTGGTTTGACAAACCCACCCCCCTTCTTGCTACTTATAGGAGCGTTGGCACGCAGGCATTTAATCGAGCGGAAATCAACATCAACACACATGCTCAAATGGATTTCATCCTTATTAACGACAGATGGAAAAACTCGGTCCACAATATAACACCTGTTCATGAAACTATTTTGGATTCAGATCACGCGCTTCTAATTGCCGATGTACACGTGAAACTATCGCAGAACAAAACGGAAGAAAACGAACGCTTGCCCGCAAAAATTTAGAACTCCGACAAAAATGCAAAAGCACGATTACAACCTCTTCATTAAACAGAACATCGAGGAACAACAACAACTTGGCAAATGGAAATGCACAACTGCATTTGAAACCCTTGCTGAAATAATTGACGAAGCAGCTGATAAATACTTTACGCCTATCCCATTTGAACAAAAGAAACCTTACCTTTCTGAAGACACTTGGAATCTTATTGAGGACAAACAGAATGCGATTCAAGAAGAAGATTTCATCAAAGCCCGAGCTTTAACCAAAGAAATCCGTTTGAAAGCCAGGAAAGATAAAGAACGGGCGCTTCTACGAGAACTTGAGGAAATATCGCAAGATGGCTACAAATGGGATGGTCTAAAGAAAGCAAGACAAACTTTTCAACCCAAGCGATATAAGTTCAAAAACAAACGCGGAGAAATCATCAAAGAAAAAGATTTTCCTTCTACTGCAGCGGAGTTTTTCGCCGAAGTACAGTGGGCCAAACCGCTGGAAAACGAACTAGACCCGGCTAAAGAAGCTTCCCCTCTTATTGAAGGAACAAGCGCTATGAATGATAACTTCTTCTCTATAACTTATCTAAGTTCTAGAGATATGTGGGGTATGGTTTCTAGTCCAGCTAGAGGGGTCTAGACGTCAGGGCTTTGACGGGGCGACGATGGGATGACGACGGCGCGACGACGGGGTGGCGACGGGGCGACGACGGTGTGACGACGGCGCGACGACAGGGTGCGATGGCGCGACGACGGGCTGACGACGGGGGGACGACGGCTGTCGCGCCGTCGTCGCGCCGTCGTCGCGCCGTCGTCGCGCCGTCGTCGCGCCGTCGTCCCGCCGTCGTCCCGCCGTCGTCCCGCCGTCGTCCCGCCGTCGTCCCGCCGTCGTCCCGCCGTCGTCCCGCCGTCGTCTCGCCGTCGTCCCGCCGTCATAAGGCCTAGTTTGGGCTTAAACTAGGCCTTATGACGGGAAATAAGGCCTAGTTTGGGCTAAATAAGGCCTAGTTTGGGCTTAAACTAGGCCTTATGACGGCGTGACGACGGCGCGACGACGGCGCGACGACGACGCGACGACGGCTCGACGACGGCGCGCGACAGCCGTCGTCCCCCCGTCGTCCCTCCGTCGTCCCCCCGTCGTCCCCCCGTCGTCCCCCCGGCGTCCTGCCGTCGTCCCCCCGTCATCCTGCCGTCGTCCCTCCGTCGTCTTGCCCTCGTCCCTCCGTCGTCCCACCGTCGTCCCTCCGTCGTCCCACCGTCGTCCCTCCGTCGTTTTGCCGTCGTCCTACTTTTGTTGTGTGGACTAACACATATCTTTAGAACTTAGATAATCTATAACTGAGCTCGATAACGTAATCGACGCGCAAAAGAACAACAAAACTCCAGGACCGGATGGATGTAGAGCAGAACTTGTAAAATGGCTTTCGGTCCCTAACCGAAACTCTCTACTCTCATTATACAACGACATAATTCAAGAACAGCATTACCCGGAGACTTTTAAAAAAGCTAACTTGGTCGCTATTTATAAGAAAGGGGACGCCACCCAAATGCAGAATTACAGACCAATTGCCCTTTTACAAGTGTTTTACAAATTACTAGCAAGCATGATCAGAGCTCGTCTCATACATGCATATGACTCATGGATTCAAACACACACAGTATGGTTTTCGTCCTAATAAATCAACAACACAAGCTATCTTTATCGCAAGAAGATTATTAGACCTGGCCGAAAGACAGCATTCAAACTTGTCACTTATTCTCTTAGATTGGGAAAAAGCTTTCGACAAAGTCAACCAGATAAAGCTCTTACAAGTTCTTCGAAGGCTAAAAGTCCCCCCAAATATGTTTCAATTGATCGCAAATATGTATAAAGATCCACAGTTCAGAATAGCAATGAACAATCAAAGCTCGGAATACAAATCGCAAGATTCTGGGATCCGACAAGGCTGCCCCCTGTCTCCGTTTCTTTTTACACTACTAATGTCTGCCATGTTCACAGACATTCGAACCAAGCTAAACACTCCGAAGCAAAAAGAACCAATACCAGGAATTGAATTCGCTGAAGTCTTATATGCAGACGACACACTTGTTTTTGGCACCCACACGCGCACAATAAACAAGCTCCTGCATGCTATTCAGTCTGAATCTAAATACTACAACATGAAGTTAAACTACGACAAATGCATCAACCTGACTCTGAACCAAGGACAATCCAGCGTTAAATATATGGACGGGACACTGGTTCCACGCAAGCAGGAGGCTAAATTTTTAGGGTCCTTACTGACAGACACGGTGAATAATCACAGAGAGATTTCTAACCGTATAGCAGATGCTACCGTCACGTGCAATAAGCTTAAGCTATTTTGGAACAAAGCTCAAAACAGCGTAAAATGGAAGCTCAAGGTATTCGACTCAGTTCTTAAGAGCAAGGTCTTATATGGTCTAGAATGCATACAACTTACAAAATCTGATCTGAGCAAACTTGATGCATTTCAGATGAAAGGCCTCCGGCGTATCTTGAAGATTCCGCCCACTTTCATCGATCGCACCTACACGAATCAGAAAGTATTAGACCTCCTAAACAATGATTACCGTCATGTCATTGAAAAGTTTTCTCTGACTTGGATGAAAAGGAAAGTTAAGTTATTGGGCCACATACTGAGGACTGATTACAAAGACCCCATGAGACAAGTCATATTTGATCCATATACAACTAGACCCAGACTTGAATACAGACGCCCAGGTAAACCACGAGCATCATGGCTTCTAGAATCTTTCAAGGATGCTTTTACCCTTTTAGGACGGACTGAAAACTATGATGACAATAGCAACGAGCATCACCAGTTTATCATTCAACAGGCTCAAACAAGACAGGGAATATTTGCCACAAAAACGCATAACAGCTGAATATATAGCTCGAGCTGCATCATCGAAAGCTCATCTCCGAATGATCATCACCGAATGTGCCTGACAGTGGATGCGATGCACCACTACCAGGCGACCGTTGCAAAAATGTACGACATCAAATCTTCATCACCGAACGTTTCGTCACCGAATGTATGGCGCAGTGCTGCGACGTCGAGGCAAGATGCCCGTCTGCACCTAACATGTTCTCCTGGGTCTGCAAGACAGACACATAGATACACTGTTTGCTGTACGCATTCTGGTTCTTCCCCTCCCCATATTTGCACCTTTTATTCCTCCTCACTTCACAGGCAGTAAATTGTTTAAAACTAGACCGCTTCAAATTTTGTCTCACCCCACCGCCGCCCTCAGATCTTTGACCATCCTCTCTTTTATTTAGTCCCCAGGCTAGGTTTCTGTGCTCAGACTGACAGTCTGCACGTAGGAAAAAATAGGGTGTATAGGGTTTATAGGGTTTAGGGGGTTGTAGTTGGGTACTTAAGTACAGTACCCTGAACCTCCAAGTATTGGTTCCCTTAAGCAACCGCCCTGGCCGCGAACCCTACATTCGGGGTTCAGGTATCAAAAATTAGAATTTAATAAAAGTATTCAATATGCCCAACACAATTAAACGCTCATTCGGGGTTCAGGGTTTCAGGCTCCAGGTTTAGGATTTATATGCTTCCTTGGCAGAAGAAATCCCTTCCGAGCTTTGAGCGGTTCAGCAGTGTTGAAAGTAATTAGCCCGAGCCCTTTCGCGTAGTTCATTCTGTAGAATACGCCAAGTTGAGTTGATATCTAGGTAGGCCCTTGAAATATGTTTATATGTCCCTTATTGGGTTTAAGAGGACCATATTTAGGAATATTTTTCAGAGGGTTTGAAGGGCCATCCTAGATATTTCTGGGATCCCAGAACCGTTGTTGGTTTAGGGTCTGGTGAGAGATGGATTCCTTAGAGCGTTTTACGGCTTCAAGTCCGTATAAACCCTATACACCCTAATGAAACTAGGTTTTTTGGTTTTGGGTTTCGGGTGTAGGGTTTAGGAGGATCTTGTTTCGGAATACTGTTTAGGAGGGTTTCAGGGAACAACCTAGATGAGCCTAAACTCTAAATCCCCAAACTGCCGAACCCTTGAAGACCCATAGACCCGTAAACCCTCAACAAAAACCAATGCTTCAAAAAACCTCAAACTCCTATGCCCTAAACCCTAAACCTTCTCCCTGGTAATCCCTACAAACCCTATACGCCCCATAAACTCCACAAACCCTCTACAAGAAGCCTGCAAACCCTGTACCCTAAACCCTAAACCCTAAACTCTAACCCCAAAACCCTGCACAACCCTGAAGCAAAACTGCACAATTTTCATACATGGAGCCCCCGCGCAAGGAGAAGTCCTTCGTGGGAAGTGGTGTCAGTGCCGGGAACACGGGCATCGCGTGCACGCCGCTCGGCCACCCTAAGCCAGGGTTCAGGGTTGGTTTAGGGCTGAGGGTTTAGGGTTTAGGGTCCTGGTTTATGGCTTAGGGTTTAGGGTTTTGTGTTTTGGGTCGCTGAATGGCATATCACATTCGGGTAAAACGGTGAAAAAGGCAAGTCAGTCGTGTCTTAAAACGCATCTTCTGCATTGCCGAAACGTGAAACGTGATCAGATACCCTAAGCCCTAAGGGCGCAACGCATCAGCCTGACCCCTCCACCCCTCACCCAGAATCTCTTCTGTCCTTCGTCCCAAGCAGCCAGGCCCTGAACCCTAAACCCTAATCCCTAAACCCTAATCCGTAATCCCTAATCCCTAAACACTAATTAAGCCCCCAAATCTAGCCTTGGTACGCACAGTCATGTTTTCGATATTTTCCGGAGCACATTTGCCGACCATGGAGCCAAAAACACCTGAGGAACTCGAGCATCTAAACGCTCGCTTACTAAACCCCTAAACTCTTAAATCCTAAACCCTGCAACCCCCAACCCCCAACTGAGTAGCTGAGTAGGTTACCCTTAACCTGTCTGGGGTATACAGAATCCTACCAGACCTGGCAGGCCAGCCCTTTTTTTGGCCCAGGGTACTCAGCAACGAAGCTAAAAAAACCCTCGACCCTAAACCCGAAACCCTAAACCTTAAACCCTAAACCTTAAACCCTAAACCTTAAACCCTAAACCCGAAACCCTAAACCTTAAACCCTAAACCAAGCCTCAAAAGCCGCACGCTTCACCGAGGATGCTGGGCATCCAGAAGGCCCGCCTGTCGTCACAAAGCTGAATGGGAACAACAACAATCTATTTGTAGGAGTCAACATGCCAATTCTCAGATGTTGAACATGTTGGTTTCGGTAAGGTTTCTGTTCTGAAAGTGTTAGCGTTGATCGTCCTGGGCATTCGGGAAGCAAGCTATGCCAGACCATTCACCCTAACCTCCAACTTTGAAATGGAACGTGCTCAAGCCTAAACCCCTCGTCCGCCTAAAGCCGCCTTCCAGTCGCTGCCAGTCGCCCTAAACCCTAAACCCTAAACCCTAAACCCTAAACCCTAAACCCTAAACTCTAAACCCTAAACCCTAAACCCTTAACCCCAAACCCTTCAGAGGACACCGAGGAGTGGCGCTGCCTGACTGAGGGCCGCCCTTTGCCGCTCGGCTCCTTCGCCTCGTTTCCTTTTTTTAAGGAAGGGGGGGGGGGGGTTTGGGGTTTAGGGTTTAGGGTTTTCATTTTCATTTTTTTTGGCGGGGGGGGGGGGGGGGGGGGGTTAGGGCTTTGCAAAAGGTTTATTATCGGGCGTTAGGGGGTGTGTGTGTGTGTGTTTTTTTTTGGGGGGGGGTCAAGGGTTTTAGGGTTTTGAAGGGTTAGAGTTTTAGGGTTTATTTATTTTTTTTTTTTTTTGGGGGGGGGGGGGGCTCAAGGGATTTTAGGGCTTTCAGGGTTTTAAGGGTTTCCTTTTTAGAGTTTGAAGTTTGAAGGGTTAGGGTTTTGAGGTTTTTTAGGGTTTTTAGGGTTTTAAGGGTTTAGGGTTTGAAGGGTTAGGGTTTAGGGCTGTTCAGTGTTTGGGGTTTTAAGGGTTTAGGGTTTTAGGGGTTCAGGGTATTAGGGGTTAGGGTTTCGGGTTTCAGGCTTTAGGGCTTCAAGGGCTTCAAGGGCTTCAAGGGCTTCAAGGGCTTCAAGGGCTTCAAGGGCTTCAAGGGCTTGAGTTTGAGTATTGCTTGAGTATTGCTTGAGCATTGGAGAAAGCTTCTTAGCGGGGTTCCAGCATTTTAAGGATTGTAGTAGAGAGGGCTTAGGGTTGGTCTTTTGGGGGTTTGTACAGACCGCCTGACTGGACATCCCCCCCCCCCCCCTCTCCCGCGTGTGGCTAAGATTCTAAAAGATACCCCTAAACCCTCAACCCGAAATGCCTAGACCCTAGACCCTACCCTAAGCCCTATACACCCTACCCCAAAACCCCCGTGTAAGGAACTTGCCCACGTACCAGAGCTTGGGCATACCCCACCGATCGACGGGAGCGCTATACGCCTGAGGCTGAGGAAGGGCTTTTTGCGTTTTGGGTTTAAGGGTTTTGGTGTTTAGGGTTTAGGGTTGGTTTAGTGTTGGTTTAGGGTTTAGGGTTTAGGGTTTAGGGTTTAGGGTTTAGGGTTTTAGTGTTTAGGGTTTAGGGTTGGTTTAGACCCTAAACCCTAACCCACAAACCCCAAACCCTATAAACCCAAGCCCTGCTTAGAAGCTCTTTTTGACTTCGAAAGTCTACGTCCTATCCCGTAAAAACCCTATTGTAAATCCCCACAATGCATCTTACTGGGCCTACTCAAAAGGGCTTCCAAGTAAGCCCTAAGCCCTAAGCCCTAAACCCTAAATCCTAAACCCTAAACCCTAAACCCTAAACCCTAAACCCTAAACCCTAAACCCTAAACCCTAAACCCTAAACCCTAAACCCTAAACCCTAAACCCTAAACCCTAAACCCTAACCCCTAAACCCTAAACCCTAAACCCTAAACCCTGGTCCTTCAGCTCCTTCGACTCTCGAACAAGACACATCTAAACCTTCCTTACGCTTCTCTCTGGAAAGCCCTAATTCATGAACCCTAAGTCCAAAACCCTACGCCCTAAACCCTATAAACCCTACTTACACCCTGCTTAAACCCCATAAACCCCAAACCTTAGGTCCTGCTACTCACCCAAAAATCCCAACCCTTGACGCAAAGCCACGCCTTAACCCTCTTCCCCGCATCCAGACACACAAGCCCCTAAAACGAAATGCCTAGGTCGCCTGGTCGCCCGAAGAGTTTCGGGCCTTGGACGTGCTGCAGGGCCAAGAGGCTTAGGGTTTAGGGTTTAGGGTTTAGGGTTTAGGGTTTAGGGTTTAGGGTTAGAGCCCCGGCAGCTTGGTGGCCCAGTGGTAGCCTTCATCCTCTTTTTTTGGTTCCGAGTTCCCGTATGGTTTAGGGTTCAGGGTTCAGGGTTTAGGGTTTAGGGTTTAGGGTTTAGGGTTTAGGGTTTAGGGTTAAGGGTTTAGGGTTTAGGGTTTAGGGTTAAGGCACCCTTGTCTTGATATGGTTACTGCGCTATCAAGAAAGACTCCAAGGGACTCTTGCTCGAAGGTTTTTCGGGCTTAGGGTTCAAGGACGGTTTTTTAGGGACCTTCAGGCACTCAGAACCTATAAGTTCTCAAGCCTCAACCCTAACTGCACAAGCCCAATTGAACCCTAAACCCTAAACCCAAAACCCTCTTCCCTATTCCCTAAACCCTAAATCCTAAACCCTACACCCTATGGGTTCCGAGCTTCGGGGTTCAGGGTTTTGAGGTCTGCGGTTTTCTTGTTGGCAGCGTAGCTTTTCTTTAGAGTTTAGGGCTTGAGGGTTTGAGGGTTTGAGGGTTTGAGGGTTTCAGGGTTTCAGGGTTTCAGGGTTTCAGAGTTTCAGGGTTTGAGGGTTTGAAGGGCTTGAAGGGCTTGAAGGGCTTGAAGGGCTTGAAGGGCTTTAAATGCTTTAAGGGCTTTAAGGGCTTTAAGGGCTTTAAGGGTTAAGGTTCAGCCCACTTTGTGTTTAGTGTTGTAAAAGGATGGATCCTCCCTGCTTCCGCCTGCCAGGCAAAATCAGAGATGGTCTCGCCGGAGGACTGTGGAAGGAACCCACAAGCACAAAAAACACCCTCAACCCCGTAAATCCTCAGCCCTAAACCCTAAACCCTAAACCCTAAACCCTAAACCCTAAACCCTAAACCCCATAAGACCCTCAACCAAAGCCCCTGACTTGACCCTCTGGAGCACCAAGCCCGTTTGAGCGAAGCCAGGAGCCCCTAGTTGGAAACCCCCGACACGTACGTTTCTTGGAGGCTACCGTATAGTTAAGGGTTTAGGGTTTAGGGTTTAGGGTTTAGGGTTTAGGGTTTAGGGTTTAGGGTTTAGGGTTTGGGGTTCTTATGAAGGGGGTTTTGTAATCAGAGCCTCTATGAACCCTAACGCCTAAACCCTATAACTTTTTACCTGCTACCCTCCGCCCCGAACGCCGGACCCCGCGCTCCCACTTCTGCGACAGTGCTGTGGCTGGTAGGTGCTTGTCCTCAGATTTGAGGTTTGGGGTTTGGGGTGTGAGGGTTTGGGGTTTAGGGTGTGAGGGTTTGGGGTTTAGGGTTTACAGGTTTCGGGTCTAGGGGTGAGGGCTTAGGGTCGGGCTAGATTAGGGTTTCGTGTTCAGCTGAACCCTGAACCCCAACGCCACGACAGCGCAAATCCCGAACCCTAATCCCTTGCCCGCAAGATCCTGACCGCCCAAGCCCTAAACTTTCATACGCCCCGAAACCCTGTACTTTCCTGCGGCCCTTTTCCCTAAACTTACTAAGTCCCTGAACCCTGCTTCCTGCTTCAACCATCCTAAACCAATCCCTAAACCCTAAACCCAAAACCCAAAACCCAACACCCAACACCTCAGCACCAGAAGGACCTAAGACTTCGGCAGCCTAAGCTCGCTGCTGCGAAGGGCGCGCTCTTCGTGCCAGTGCCTGAGGCAGAAGAATTAGGGTTCAGGGTTTGGGTCACAAGGGTCAGGATTCAGGGTTTAGGGTTTAGGGTTTAGCGTTTAGGGTTTAGGGTTTAGGGTTCAGTAGTTTGGGCTTGAGGACAGAAGGTTTGGGGGTTTGGGGCCCTCGGGGTTTGTGCGTTTAGGGCCCATGCTGCAGCATTCAGGGCCTAGAGGATTGCGTAAAACGAGGCACGCTGCATACGGCGGTTGATCTAAGGTATGGGCTATGTTTGTTGCCCTATCAGGAAAATTAGTTTCACCGACCCAAAAATTCTCACAACGCACCTCACTGCATCGGCCCCCCACATAAAAAACTTACACAAGGCTTCTCGAGTCCGTGTTGCGAAATGCTCCGACCGATTCGTGTGCGATTGTCATTTGGGACTAGCAAATCCGTGTGCTTACCAGATAGGAGGTTCAGGAGGGTCTTGCGTGCTAAGCCCTACACCCCATAAATAATGAACTCTAGATCCTAAACCCCAAAAAAACCACAATGCTGTAAACCCTATAAACCCCCCAAACCCTATAATCCCTGATGATCCCCCCCCAACCCCCCCAACCGCAAATCCTTACAATCCTCAACCCTAAACCATATTATATCCTATCATCCTGAACCCTAAGCCCTCAACCCTAAACCCAAAACCCTAGCCCTAAACCCTGAACCAGCCGCCCGCCATCGCTCACTGAAGGCCCGAAGAGGTCACTGTGGACCCAGGCCTTGTCGCAAGGCACTCAGTAGGGGTGTTTTTGTGGTATCTAGGGTTGTTAGGGGGGTTAGAGGGTATAGGGTTTAGGGTTACATAGGGTTCATAGTAGGGTTTTAGGGCTTTTAGGGTTTGTAGCGTTTGGGGTGTTTGGGTATGGGGGAGCGTTTGGGCTTTAGGGTTTTGGGGCTTTTAGGGGCGTAGGGCTGGTAGGGCAGGGCAAGGTCAGCATTACTTGCCAAGAAGAGTAACCCACAACCCTGCACCCTAAACCAAAACCCTAACTCACCGAAGCCTAAAAGCCTTCCCTGCTTGGATTCCTATGTACAAGGACTTGGGACGGTGGCTTGGGACCGAGCGTGAAACGCTTTGTTTGGTTGGCAGCTGTGGTTCACGACGCACGAGACTCCGCGACATGGAGCGCGCCCGGTGCAAGGTTTAGGGTTTAGGGTTTAGGGTTTAGGGTTTAGGGTTTAGGGTTTAGGGTTTGCGGTTTACGGTTTACGGTTTAGGGTTTAGGGTTTAGTACAACGAGTGTCTGAGGTTGCTGAACGCCAGCTTGCGCAGCGCAGTGCCTACCCGCCAAGCTCTTTATACCCTGCATCCTGGAGCACTGCGCTCTAATGTGTGCCTAAGCCCTAAACCCTAAACCCTAAACGCTAAACTAAACCCAAAACCCCTACGGCTCTAAGGGCGCATGTTTTCGGGTATTTGGGTCCAAAGACCACGCAGAATACTTGTGGTCCCAGTTTTCAATGCAGATCCTGATCTTCTGTAAGCCCTTGGGTTCAGGGTTCAGAGCTTAAATGGGGTTCAAATCGCCCTAAACCCGAAACCCTAAGACCCCCCCCCCCCCCCTAATGAAAAGGGGAATAAGTAAACTAGCAACACAGCTCGCGATGAAGGTCCTGGCCTATGCCGCAGACGCTGTCCGGCATGGCGCCGCCATTTTCGAAGAGACCGAGGCGGCGGCGTTGGTGGCTGTTGGGAGGGCCTAAACCCTAAACCCCAAACCCTGAACCCTGAACCCTAACCCTAAACCCTGAGCCCAAAATGAAAACCAAACCCGAAGCCCTAAACCCAAGCCTTGAACTGTTCGGGGCAGACTTGCGGGGCTCAAGGGACAGTGCCCTACATCTCTACAGACCCTGAAGGTTTTGTACAGTTGACAGGGCTTGTCAGGGCACCCCAAATTCCTAAACCCTAAACCCCAAACCCCAAACCCTAAACCCTAAACCCTAAACCCTAAACCCTAAACCCTAAACCCTAAACCCTAAACCCTAAACCCTATACCCTAAACCCTACCCAGAAGTGTGTAGCTGGGCTTCGGGCCCCGAAGGTTGGGTTTAGGGTTTAGGGTTTAGGGTGCTTTGAACCCTGAGGTTTAGGGTTTAGGGTTTAGGGTTTAGGGTTTAGGGTTTAGGGTATCTGGCGTTCATCTTTGCATCGCGGATCTGGCAGATTCCACTCAACTAACCCTAGGCCTCTAAAACCTAGACCCCTAAACCCCTAGTCAAACTGTAAAGACCTAGACCCTAAACTCCCAAACCCTAAACCCTGGAACCCTACATCTAAGCCCTAAACCCCTGAACAGCTAAACCACTAACCAACTAAACCCCTAAACCCCTAAACCCCGAAAGCCCTAAGCCGTTACACCCTTACACCCTTACACCCCTACACCCCTACACCCTAGACCCTAAACCCTAAACCCCAAACCCTCAACCCTCAACCCTCAACCCTAAACCCCAAACCCCAAACCCTAAACCCGCAACCCTCAACTCTAAACCCTCAACCCTAAACCCTAAACCAAACCAAAGCAATGCGGCCGTGCGCTCTCCTCGTGCTGAGCTTCGGCCTATGGTCTGTGGCTGCCGACACCTGCGACAAGGCAGTCTGACCGTTTTTATTGGGGTTTGGGGTTTGGGGTTTAGGGTTTAGGGTTTTAGGGTTTAGGGTTTTAGGGTTTAGGGTTTAGGGTTTAGGGTTTTAGGGTTTAGGGTTTAGGGCTTAGGGCTTAGGGTTTTAGGGTTTAGGGTTTACGGTTTAGGGTTTGCGTTTTCTAGGTCGGCCCTTGGAGCATTTGCATTTTCTCCTTGATTCTCCCTTGCTGGGTTTAAGAGGGTCATATTCAGGAGTATTTTTCCGAGGGGTTCAAGGGCCATCCTGGTTTTGATTAGGGTTTGGGTTTCGGGCTTGGGGGTTAGGGTTTTAGCTTTGGGGTTTAGTAGGGGTTTTCGGGTTACTAAACCCTAAACCCTAAACCCTAAACCCCAAACCCTAAACCCTAAACCCGGTCGCACTGTTGAAGTCACGATGTTGTGGTTCCGATGTTTGCCATGTCATGCTGTTCTGACCAGTCCAGACTTTCCTCGTTCCGAGACCCTCAACCCTAAACCCTAAACCGAGCCCGCCTCTCTGACATACAGACCACATGCAAGTTTAGGGTTTAGGGTTCAGGGTTTGGGGTTTAGGGTTTAGGGTTTAGTGGGGTTTAGGATTTCGGGTTTAGGATCTCGTCGCACAACTGGAGGCAGCTCAGCCATGTACCCATGGGCGTTCTGGTAGCTTCGCCCAGCCCAACACCTCAAATCCCTTCCACAAGTCATCGTTTACCACTTTGAATCGATGCACCCGCATCATCCCCTTTCTTCGGGCTGGGGGTCCCTAAACCCTGAACCCTGAATCCTAAACCCAAAACCCAGAACCCAAAACCCTAAACCCTAAACCCCAAACCCTAGACCCTAAACCCTAAACCCTAAACCCTAAACCCTGCCAGGCGTTTTACCATGAGGTGCCTGCGTTGCAGGTTGCCCTGACAGCTCAGACGGACCCTGGTCTTCGGCTTCGGGGCTTCGGGATTTTGAGTTTCGGGTTTTGGGGTTCAGAGCTATAGGTTTTGGGTTTTGGGTTTAGGTTTTGGGTTTTGGGTTTTGAGTTTTGGGTTTTGTGTTTTGGGTTTTGGGTTTTGAGTTTTGGGTTTTGGGTTTTGATTTTCGGGTTTTGGGGGTTCAGAGGTTTAGGTTTGGGTTCTGATTTTTTCGGGTTCAGCGTTTTTTTGTTTAGGTTTTAGGGTTTCTTGGGGTTCAGAATTTTAGGCTTTTCGGGGGATTCGCGGGGAGGGGGTAGGGCTTTAAGGGGTTTCGGTTTGGTTTTTGGAGCCCTGTGGAACGAGAGGCCCACAGATTCCCTAAACCCTAAACCCTAAACCCTAAACCCTAAACCCTAAACCCTAAACCCTAAACCCTAAACCCTAAACCCTAAACCCTAAACCCTAAACCCTACACCCTACGCCCTAAACCCTAAACCCTAAACATCCTTGGACTGCAGCGCTCCTCGACAAGTTTATGCCTGATTTTGGGGGTTTAGGGTTTAGGGTTTATTGGGGTTTTTTGGGGGGCCAGGGTCGAGGGTTAGGGGGGGAGGGCCCAGGGTTACGGAGTTTCGGGTTTGAGGTTTGGGGCTTAGGCTTTGGGGTTTAGGGTTTAGTGTTGTTTAGGGTTTTTGGGCTTGAGGTTCAGGGTTTAGTGTTGAGGTGTAGGACTTTTCACGCAAGGACCTGCAGGACGCTGGCGAGGTGCTTGCGGCGTTTGTGATTCGCCATTCCGAGGACGTCCGGAAAGAAGGCCACAAGGATAGGGGGGGCGCCCCATAGGCCCCAAACCCTAATCCTGAAACCCTGAACCCTAAACCCTAAACCTGAAACCCTGAACCCTAATCCCTAAAACCCTAAACCCTAAACCCTGCTTTCAGCCCTAACTCCTACACCCTAAACCCTCAACCCCAAAACTGCGATCCTGAACCCTGAACCTTCAACCCTATAACCCGAACTCCTAAACCCTGCCCTCTAACTGTCAATCACTATAAACCCTAAACCCTAAACCCTAAACCCTAAACCCTAAACCCTAAACCCTAAACCCTAAACCCTAAACCCTAAACCCTAAACCCTAAAGCCCTAACCCCACCCCCCCACTAAATAAACTGCTTTGTTTATGGGGAGAGTTGGGACGGACGGGTTTAGGGCTTGGGGTTTAGGGTTTGGGGTTTAGGGTTTAGGGAACTCTGCACCGTCTAGGCCGCAAGGTCCTCACTTCCTAAACCCCTAAACCCTAAACCCCTAAACCCCTAAACCCCTAAACCCCTAAACCCCTAAACCCCTAAACCCCTAAACCCCTGAACCCCTGAACCCCTGAACCCCTGAACCCCTGAACCCCTGAACCCCTGAACCCCTAAACCCCTAAACCCCTAAACCCCTAAACCCCTAAACCCCTAAACCCCTAAACCCCTAAACCCCTACACCCCTAAACCCCTAAACCCCTAAACCCCTAAACCCCTAAACCCCTAAACCCCTAAACCCCTAAACCCCTAAACCCCTAGACCCCTAGACCCCTAAACCCCTAAACCCCTAGACCCTTCAACCCTCAACCCTCAACCCCTGAACCCAAACCCTACACCCTGAACCCTGAACCCTGAACCCTGAACCCTGAACCCTAAACCCTAAACCCTAAACCCTAAACCCTTGAAGCCCGTAGGCTTCTCAGCCGACCCCGGCGAGCTGCTGCACTGCCTGGATGGCCTTCTGCTGGCCTCCTTGGTCTGTTCCGTGGTTCAGGAGGGGTTTAGGGTTTAGGGTTTAGGGTTTAGGGTTTAGGGGTTTAGGGTTTAGGGTTTAGGGTTTGGGGTTTGGGGTTTGGGGTTCAGGGTTTAGGGTTTCAGGTTTAGGGTTTAGGGGCTTCGGGGCTCAGGAGTTTTTTTCGGGATCCGGGCGGCTTGGGTCTAGGAGTTTGGGAGTTTAGGGGTTTTGGCGTGTAGAAGTTCAGGGGTTTAGGGGTGAGGGGTTTAGGGGTTCCGGAATTTAGAGTGAGGGTTTAGGGCTCAGAGGGTAGGTCCCCAAGCGACTCGACACATGTCGTAGGGCTCACAGAATACCTTGGGAGTAGACGTTAAGCTTTAATGAACCTTCAAGACCGAAGCATCTTCAAGCCCCGACAACCCTCCAACCCGGAAAAGCTTAAGGCCACGAAGCGCCGCAACACAAAACCCCCAAGCGCCCGAAGCCCTCCTAAACCTTAGAACCCCCCGAAACCCTCAAGCCCCAAACCCTAAGCCCGCCGAAGCCCTCAAAGCCTCAATTTCGACCGTAAACCCCCGAAACCCTAAACCCTAAGCCCCCGAAACCCTAAACCCCAAACCCCAAACCCCAAACTCTAAACCCTAAACTCCAAACCCTAAACCCTAATCCCGAAACCCTAAACCCTAAACCCTTCCCACGAGCTCATATTGGGAGGAGCTCACGGCCTTCAGCGTCGCACGCCGCTGGAGGCGAGTGTAGGGTTTGGGGTTTATGGTTTAGGGTTTAGGGTTTAGGGATTGGGGATTGGGGATCAAGGTTTAGGGTTTAGGGTTTGGGGTTTAGGGTTTAGGGTTTCGCGTTTAGGGTTTAGGGTTTCGTGTTTAGGGTTTAGGGCTTAGGGTTTGAATCTGGGGAGTCGGCTCGAACACCCCCAAGTCTATTTTTGTCCGTAGCAGCTACAAGATGCTTGTGCGGTTGGGTGGACACCATTGGGGTTTAGGGTTTAGGGTTTAGGGTTTAGGGTTTAGGGTTTAGGGTTTAGGGTTTAGGGTTTAGGGTTTAGGGTTTAGGGTTTAGGTCTGATGTGTGTTCGGTTTCGGATTTGGGGCTGAGTTGCGCTGAGCCCTACCAACCTCGAAGCCCAAAAACCCTACTAAGCCCTAAACCCTACACCGGCTCAGTTTGCCGAGGGAGGCTCATCATACTGTTTTTAGGGTTTAGGGTTTAGGGTTTAGGGTTTAGGGTTTAGGGTTTAGGGTTTAGGGTTTAGTAAGTTGAGGGCTTCTAGGCCCTAGGGTTGAGGGGTATCATGACCAACCACAGGTGGCTCCGGGTGTTCGTCCTTCGGGCGGGCTGGACGGTTCTGACGGCGGGCACGGCGGACGAGCCCCAATCAGGCCGAAGATCGACAGACATCTTGCAGGGCTT